TCTTGGTGAACATTAGTGGAGTAACTTTGCTCCACACTTCTAAACCTTTTTGGATAGCCTCGTCTACATCAGCTCGTGCCATATCTGGCGTATAGTTCATGATTCTTAAAAATTAACAAAAATATATCAATTTGTGCTTATACATGCATGTATGCAAATATACTACAAAAAGAAAATCATTTCTATTTCATCAATCATATGCTGCAGCAACTTTTGGTGTGGTGTTATTCTTACATTTGTATAATACTTTACTGTTTAAATAAAGCACTTTTACAATGCTATATAAATCAGTTCTCTCATCTGCCCTATTAATCAGGGAGTGTTATAACACTTTAACAAATGAGATTCAAAGAGGTTAAATAACTTCCCTAAGATCATACCCTGAGTGGGAGAGCATTAATTTCATGTATGTGTTTGCTGTGTATATAACTGCATTATAAATATGTTCTAAAAAGAATTGAGATTTATTTTCTCGGATGGCTTGTGGGAATCAGTCTTGTGTCATGTATTAAGAGTATAAATACGTGAAAGCCACAAAAAGGTAGTTACTCAGGAAAAGATTTCCCTCCTGTTTATATTTGTCTTCCTAAACCTATTTTCATCTCAATACCTAAGGCTCAGTAAGATGAAGGAAGAACTATCAGAAACTCTCTAGGGCCAGCCAGGAGGGCTGTAGAGTGGTGGTCAAGGTCACTATTTCTATCTCAGGTCACGGACACACTTCATCCTCTTTCTGCCAATGAGCCAGCCCTCTTTGCTTGAGATGTCTGGGGACAAAGCACTCCATACTTCACTCCGGAGTCCGTCTGAGATTTGACAACTCTAACTCACACACGTCTCTAACATGAACTGGTTGTGCTCCAGGGTCTTCTCATTTTCTCTTGAGCACACTGCATCTGTACCTTCAAGCATCTGCAATCGGATGGCAGTGCTTCAGGTCCTGAGCCTATTTGGAGCTGGCAGAGGCCAAAGATTAGAGGATCTCTGCCAGAGCCAGTCTGCTGACAAGAGCTATGTAACCTTGACTGTGGTAAATAATCTGTTGTTTCAGTTTCTCTTTGTTTAAGGTGGTAATAACAGCGGTGCCCACATCACAAGTTTGTTGGGAGGACGGAATGAATGAAATCTATAAAGTGCCGTGCACATAGGAAGTGCTTGGTAAAATAACCCATGATTATTTTTGATCCTTGGAGATTCTATTCATGTTTCTTTGGATTAAGGGGAAATAAGTGGTTAGAAGCATTACCTGTATGTGAGGTTGTATTTCTTCCACCCAGGGAGAGTGTAGCCATACTGACCCACATCAGGCACCCCACACCGCGGTGTCTTCATGATCTCAAGAGTGTTTGAATCCAGTTTTCCAGTCACCGTCAATCCAAAAAATGCTTGCATTTCCTGAATTTTGCCATCTATGAGACTCTTGTTCTTGCTTTGAACAAGATGACTCCCTTCTATTTCAAGAGAGTAGAACTGGTTGAGATATGCCTGAGCAAAAAGACAAAAAAAAAAAAAAGAAAAAAAAAGGCACAAACTACAAGAGAGCAAATCTTCACCTCAGGTTACAACAAAATTGTCTGAAATCCTTTTTGACAGTTCGGAGAAGAAAAGGAAATAGGTAATGAGGGGAAGGAAGGAGTGAGGGAAGAAAGAAGAAAAGAAGGAAACAGAGAGGAAAGGAAGGAGTCACCTCATTTTTTTAACTTTCAAGGACTGGTTGAGCTATGCGTGACCCGAGTTGGCCAAACCACAAAGCCTATAAAAATTCAAACCTCCACAGAGGAGAATCAAGCTATTTCTATGTGTTAAATGATCACATATCTTACAAATTTTTGCTATTATTTTCATTTTGATGTTTCCTTGAAACAAATTCTAGAAGAAATAGGTGATTATTCATTTCACAAATTTAATGAATTTAATCAAATAGGGCAAGTTAACTGGACTAATTTTTAGCGGGAATCTCAAAGCAATGTATTATTCATGCATAAAGAGATAAGGGCTCCAAATTGTAGTTGGGTCCTCCTGGTTGTTATTGAAATGCTTTTATAGAGACCTCCATTTCTTACAGCGCTGTCCTCTTTCTCCTCTCACTATCTCCTCATTTGTAAACATTGCTTAAAGTTGTAGCAAATCCTGCCTTTTCCTCTACCCCGCCCCTGCTCTCCACCCCTCACACAGTTCTTTGAGGTCCTTAGGGCAAGGGAACCAAAAAGCAGCTCCTTCTTACAAGAAAGTTCAGGACTCTTTTATAGGAATTTGCTGTCTTTTTAGGTCCCAAGACAGTCAACAGAATGAATTTTTTATTAATAGTTGTTAATAATATTTATCGAAACAGTACCTGAGCCAGCTGCATATTTTCCTCATTTTCCATTTTTTGGTCTACAGGAAATGCAGAAGAAAATGTTATAAAGAGCAAACATAGAGGCAGAAGGCTCTTCATTCCTTCCTCTTCTCAGTTGAAGCCTGGTTCTGTTTGCATAGAATTTAGAAAATAATAGTGAGACGTGGCATGCCTTGGCCTCTATCATCCCTTAATTAATAACAGAAAAGGACATTTGCCATGAAGTGTGTCATGATATGCTTTATTTTTTTCTTAGCTTGACTTGGTTTTGCAATCGTGATCCACAGTTGCTTAGGAAACATAGCCATTGTTCATTATTGAATTCATTATAATCGGAAGTCAGCTTCCAATTTACTTTTGTCTTTGCAAGCTGGTGGTTTTCCTATCCATAAATTCTTGAAAGTTTATGAAATAACATTCTTTTGAATGAAACCCTAGAATATCTCGAGTGGCGTAGTATCATGAAAAGACAATTGAATTAGGAATCAGATTACCCTAATTAACTAGGGTAAATATCAAACGTTTATTGAGCACCTACTATTTCCCCTATCACTGTAAATGCAAGTGTGAATAAGATGCCACTCTAACTTTGTTGGAGAATTCAGACATTTTCAGAAACTAATGCCAGACAAAAGGGAGGCAAGTGGCAAAATGCACAGTGTTCACTTCTCATGACTGCGTGAAATATAAAGAAATAGGACGAACTCAATTCTCATCTCAAAAATGTTTAGATGAGAATTAGGCCATGAATTTATCATAACTAGCTAGTATAACTAGCAGGTAGGTGTTCTGAGAAGGTGAATCTCCCATCTTTGTGCTTGTGCAAACTGGCATAGGAAGTTCTAGAAAACATGATAGTCTGAAATTGACTGTTAAAAATGAAATACCCTGTTCTTACAGGTCCTTTCAGTCTTGTTACCTTGATGTAATAAATTACTTAAACATCTCTCTCACTTCCCCCAGCACAGCACCTGGGACATGTAGGTGATTCATTCTTGTTGAGTGAATGAATGAATGAAATGATAGTATGTCCTAGTTTGTTTTCTGATCTTGTAAAATAAGTTGAGAATAATGTGCTGACATATTTGAGGGAATTTTTTGATGACATTGAATATTTATAAAATATTTCATGACCTGTGAAGCAATATCTAAGGTTTAATATCAATGTTATAATAATTCTGAGAAGGGAATAAAATGCTGTAAATATATCGAAATTTGCTATTTCTTTTATTACTTTAGATAAACTATGTGGTAGAATCTTAAGAAATTATAGCAGATCATGTCAGTCATTTAAAATATTTATTTTGAACGTATTTAATAATTTTTGAACCAGAATGAGGTGCCAAATTATACTAAATTATCTGTGGATTTAAAAACTTTAATAGAAAAGGAAAATAGGATGTGCTAGTGATACATGTATTTTACAATTCACATTTATTGTATAATAAGCTACATGATGTTCTAAAAACTACAAATATTATAATGATTTTGGTGTCTAGACTAGTCTCTATCATCCCACAGGTCTTAAAGTTCTTAACAGAAAAGAATCTTTAGTAAATGTATGCATCTAAGCTCAGTTTAAGTCAATTTAATGAGATTTATTGAATTTTGTGCCCAGCGCTGTTCTGTTTGTGCAGACTCTAGTTGTCTGTAAATTGTGTCCTACTGAGTACACCAGGGAAAAAAAAGAAATAAGGAACAACAGATCCAACTAGCCCATTTGCTTAGGCTCTAGAGGAAGAGAGCAGGGAGGAGGCAGGAGAGGAAGTGGTACCTCTCCTATTTGCTGCTCCCCTGGGAAGAGGCTAATAATCCTTATGGGGGTTCAACTTTGCCATTCTGTGTTGATTCATTTTCTTAAGTGCAGATGTACTGTATTATCTTCCTAGGGCTGCTGCAACAAAGTACCAAACTTGCTAGCTTAAAACAACAGAAATTTATTCTATCATAGTTCTGGAAGCTGTGAGTGCAAAATCAAGGCGTCAGAAGAGCCATGTTCTTCTCTCTGAAGGCTCTAGGGAGGATCCTTCCTTGCCTCCTTCTAGCTTCTGGTGGTTGCTGGCAATCCTTGGCATGTAGATGCATCGTTCCCATTTCTGTCTCTGTCTTCACATGGCCTTCTCCACTGTGTGTCTGTGTCTCTCCTCTTCTTATAAGGACATCAGTTCTTATGCCCACCCTAATCCAGTATAACTTCATCTTAACTATTTACATCTGCAAAGACTTAGTCCCAAATAAGGTACATTCATAGGTACCCGAGGTTGGGACTTGCACATAGCTTTTTTGGGGAACACAATTCAACTCACAATACATATCAACAATATTTCTTTCCAAGAGTGGAAAATAGCACCAGATTTTCAATAAACGCAAGGAGTACTATCTATCTTGTTTATAATCCTTACTTATAACCTAAATCCAGTGCTAAATTGCATGTAGCAGATAGCCTTAAAACGTGTTTAAAGAGACTTTGGAATATAGGAGCATTTTAGAAGTCAGATAATCAAATAATGAAATAATGAATAGAGAGGTGACGAAGAGGGCTTAATCTCCTTCTTGTGATGAATTCACTGACCTGAGATGAAACACGTAGCACTAAATCAGCCTCTGCAAACAGTGGAATTTTCAAATGTATTTTCACTGAGGATATGTCCAATGAACACAGTGATAGCAAACAACATCATTTATTGTTGAGAAAAGAATAAATAGGTCACAATTTAATGGATACGCAAATTAGATTTCCCTGCAATATTCAGAAAATGGATACAAAAAATTTGATTTTGCTTCAACTTCGTCTACAGTTAAGCCATTTATTGATTCTTGCAACCCTAGTAACTCTCTGAGTATTAAGATCAAATGCATAATAAACTGGTCCGCTGAAGAAAAGAAAGAAGTCTGTAAAAAAAAAAAAAAGAGATAATATACTGAATTAGCTTGTCGAAGTAAGATCTCAGATGTTTTCAATTAAAAAGACCCCACTCCAGTCCCAATATAACATTCAAATGCAAATGTGCTATTTAAAAAAATTAAACAAATTTCTTAATAGTTTTTTTCCACTTACCATCTTGCTGGAAAACTGCATCAATTCTGCTTCCTATTCCTGGAAAGGTACTTGCTATGCTTTGGGGATAACCTGCTTCCATGGATCGTCTTTGGTTATCATATCTGATGAGAAAAAAATATTCTGTATTTTAAGACAAATACAGTCTATGATGATCACAGTTTTCTTTAAATTGCATATACTTTACAAAGTGCTTTCACACATGTTTTCTCACTCAGTCTTCACAACGTCCTATGTACTCGGACTAAGAATGGTTAACTTCTCTACCTAAGGGTCCATTTATACATTTATAAAATATATGAGTATCAGCAATGCTAAAATAGGCTTCTGGTTGCTGGTGCAGTGTTATTTTCAGGAAGAAGAGCTTATATTTTCTAAGGCTTTTACTTAATTGGTACATAGTGTCTCTCTCTCTCTCTCTGAGTAAATGTAAATAATAAGTCCAACTTGGACATCAAATTCTGTAGGCTATCTGGATAACATTTACTTGAGAGTATTGGAATTTAACTCATAAATGAGAATTAGCCTCTTTGCATCCTACTCTAGTGCTTTATTAAGGTTTGCTCTGTTCCATGATAGAGAATCCTCAATACCATCGTGCAGGCATTTTAATTTTATAAAAATGAAAGTTTCAAAAGCCATAACAATGTCAATCATCTTGTGAAAAAGAATGCCTATAAAGACCACCTATATTTTTAAAACCTTCAGAAGCCTGATTATTAGTGGTTTGTAGATAGGGTAAAGCAAGATGGGTTTCAACCTCTAACTAAAAAAATAGTTTACCTTACCTCCAGAATTGATCATTTACAAAGAAGTATGTTTTACTCCTATAGGAAACAGCTGCATCAATTGCTTGGACACTGCTTGGGAAGCCGTAGTTTGATATGTCCTTGGGATAACCTTGCTGAATGTCATAGCCATTCAGAGCCCAGTATTGGTTGCCTGCCAATGATTCAGGTTATATGTAAGATAAAGTTTTTCCACTCCTACAAAACGTGTACCACTTCTTAGTTTTTGCACAAATTTGTCAGAGAAATGAAAACAGAAAAAATAGCGTTTAAAAGATAGAGGTGGTAGTTAAATTCATTGGGGTATGATGGCCCTCGTGGTTCCCTAGCACCCGCACAAAATTCAGACTTCTTAGCTTGACATTCAGGGCCCCATAATTGGATATCTGATCTCATGTGACTTCTATACAGAGATTAAATTACAGCCTTGGGGAATCTTGGAAAATTATGTCTGGGATGAGGGTGGAGGAAGACCAAAGGTGGTCTAATATGGTTTTCTCATCTTGTAGATGAGAAACCGAGGCCTGAGGGTATAATCTGCTTAGGTTCACATACCATTTCATGGCAGAGATGGGACCCGACCCAGGTCTCTTGACAAAACCCTGGCCGGCGTAACACTCTCTCACTGGCTCACCTCCTCTGAACCCAGAAGGGACCACAAAGAAGTCCTTTCCCTCCATTTAAAATCCACTAAAATAAGATGAAAACCATAGGCAGTTACCTTTAAATAGGAAAATTAGGTCCCTGTCAAAATCCTCATAAGCCGCCTGTATACCATTTGGCAAGGATGGCCAGAACAGAGAAATGAAATTGAGTTCGACTGTTGGCAGTTGGGGATGCCTTCTCCAAAAGTACCTAATGGAACACAGGAGAGAAAACCACACACACAGTTGTCTAAGTAGGCAGCTTCTGTGAGTCTTGGGCTAATACTGGCCCTTATAAGATTGCTGGGAGGATATGACAATATAGTGAACGCATAGTTTCTAGCACAGTAACCAACATATAGCCATGCTTTATGGTGATATTGTCCATATGTTAAGTACTTTACAGTTTTCAAAGGATGTCAAAGAAGTGACCTTATTTGGTTATATTTTGCACTGTCACCTCCTCACACATTGACAAGTCTTATTTTGTTAGTCTCTTTGATTACTGCTCCTACAAAACGATGAGACTATTTAGAATATTCTAGCAAAAGCAATGCAAGCACACGCAGCCTGTGATTACACAATCACAAAAAAGCCACTGGAAAATTGAAAAATTTAATCAGTTAGATGATTTGTCCTGCAGCTTATTAAGTGATCATTTTAATTTACTTGACTGAATTTGAGTGGAACTGAATGCTCTTTTGGTGTCAGATAAACCCAGCTATGGGGCTCCTAAGCAGCTAGAGTCCACATTTGCTTACATCTGATATCACAAACATCTGAATGTTTATGAATGTTTTAGTTTTTTCTTTTCTTTTCATGGATGTTTTTAGTTATGCAGAAAACACTGTAAATTCCAATGAGATGCATGTGCATGGAATTCAAAAGGAAAATCTGAGTGATGTGTGATATGTTACTTAATTAGAATCCAGTTTTAAGTTATGCCAGTAAAATAAGTCAAACGAAGGAATAGTTCAATCTTATACTCGTTTTTAAAGAAAAGCGTTTCTCCGCGGAGTGTGACGATAGCATCAAATGTCAGTCTGGGGTCACAGGCGGTGGGCGCGGTTGATCCAGTTGGTTGGATAGGGTCATTTGAAGGTCCTGGAAAAAAAAAAAAAAAACAGTCCAGTGTGACTCAGTGTACTTCAGACCCTGCTCAGGATGGTGTAGCGTCTTCACCTGAAGAGAAATTCTACCAGACTATCATCCCACAAGGCATTAAAGTAACTGTACATTTGGCCCACTTACAGTTTTTGTTTTTTTAAAAATAAGAGTAATGGTGATTTTCAGGGACAGTTCCAGGTTAAGTTGCGAAGTAAAGAAATTTGCATTCTATGCTTCCTCCCTCTTTAAAATCCTAATTCCATCCTTCTCCCTCATCTTGGTTCTTCTGTGTTGTGGTCACTCACTATCCACTTCCTCCTTCCACTAAAATCCACCTTCAGGAAAGGAGTTCATATCAGTCTTTTACCCCACAGCATAAATCTAAGTCAAAGTTTAGCAATATTTTCTTCTATAAGTATTTGTATTTAAATATGTTTTCTCATTGCAGAATGAAGGGCTATCCTAACAGTTAAGAAAATTTAAAACATGGGTTAAGCAAGGGAAGGAGATGTTTTGAGGAGAAAAGGAGTTGAGGAGTAGAGGCAGTTAGACTAAGTCTTGTCATTCCTGAAAATCCTACTGTCATGAAAAAATTCCCTAGTTGTGGTACCCTGGCATGCTTGGTTTTATAATGCTGTCCCACCAGAGAGAGGAGCATGCCTTTTCCAATTCCATTCCACTCCACTCTTTTCCATTCTCTTTCCTTCCCTTCCCTTCAACACTTTTAGAGTCACAAACTTCTTCTGTGGTTTCCTGTTCTTACTCACAGCCACTAGGAGGCAGAAGGGCAAGAGGGAGGAGAGGTGCAGTGGTCTTACCCAGAAAGTACTTATAACAGGGCCGAAGGCCTCTATATCCCTCCTTGAAAAGTTTCTCTTTCTCTCCATACTCCAAATTTCCATTCCCCACCTTCCCCGACAGACAACAATCTTAATGTGATCAATATATATCTTTTTGTTAGCATTTTTCTTGAAAATGCCAAGTTTTGTCTATATGCATTTGTAATTTATGTAGATTCATATATTTTGTAATTTAATTTACATACTGTGTAATATGTATCATTCTTCTTCATGAAGCACAATGTTTTAAAGACCCTTCTATGTTGTTGTCATATGTACTTCTAATTCAGAATTTCTAACTGCTGCATATTACTCTATGGTGTGCATCCACCACATTTTACCTGTATACTCTCCTCCTGATAGACTCGCAGGTGCGCTCCAACTACCACCACCATAGACAAGAATGCAATGAACATGCTTGACATGCCCAGGTCTCCCCATGCACTGCAGTGTTCTTCAGATGACCTTACCATAGATGGCCTGAATGCCATTGATGTCATCCTGAGAGAGCAAGTAGGTGCTGGGGTCCCTGAAAGCGTAGGTGGGATACATCAAGGCAGCAGGGTTTGTGGAGTGAGCGAGCCCCAAGGAATGGCCAAATTCATGGGCAGCAACAATAAGCAAGTTGTAATCTGAAATGCAAGCATGTGTGGTGAATGGCTCTGAGTGGAATCAAGGGTGGTGGAAATATGATCTCAAGGAATGCAGCTTCCAAGCCAAAACTGCCCTGGGGAAACAGCCCTTCCCCTGCCTTTTACATTTTCCCTTCAGGTACCTGGAGAAATGGAGATTGGAAAGAATCAAGATAGGAGTTATAAATTGAGATTAGGTGAATATGAGATTCTCATCAAATCTTAGAAGGAAGTAAAGCTGCCTTCATTCTGATTCCCATATGTCATGGATGTTGACTTGAGGCTTAGAGAAACGATGGCAGAGCCATCACAGGTCTTGTAACTTTCAGAAGCCCTCTCCTCCTGTGCACCCACATACACCCCTCTCCAATCTCCCAGGCCCTCAGCCCCATTAGTAAAGTCTCAGTGAACAGGTAGTCAGAAAAGAAGCCTGCCAGGCAGCGGGGTAGCCTCAGATGCAGAGCCAACTCACTGACTCCGTAATCACGCATTGCCTAGCACCAGCTTTTCCCTGATCCTGAGCTTTCCAAGCAGCTCCAGGAACTCCACCAGAAAGAGACAAATCCTGCCTCTTATCCTTCCCTTCCCTCATCTTTTAATTCCCGCAAGCAGAGTGCCTTTCACAAGTGGGAACATAAAAACTTTCAAGACTTGCACTTCCTATCAAATAAAGTCCAAGACTTCTCCACTTGGCTCCAGCAGACATTTGTGGGCTTGACATTTTACGTGAATCCTTCACTCCAGCCAGTTTGTGTGCCATCTTACAAACACATTTTTTATTTCCCTACATGCCAACTTTAAAAACGTAATTATAGTTGCAGAGTACTTTCTATAAGCTAGGAAGTGTAATATTATTTAAGCCTCCAACATTTTGATGAAGTATTGTTAGAAATATTCTTAAAGTAAAGGAACTGAAGCCCACAGATTTTATTATTGGTCTTGCAACTAGTGGGTGGTAGAGCCAGGGTAGAACCCGGATATGATCGCAAGACCCTTGCTCTTACCACAACATCCAACTTCCTTGGGATAATTAGCCTAGTAAAATTCTACCCAAGCTCCAAGAATTGCTTTCTCAATCATCACACATCCTTCCATTTTTGCATTCATAAATGCATTTTGAAAACCATCTTTGAGTGCCTGGAGTATTAGGCGAGGGACTCTGGGGGAATTGTGATGCATAGTCTGGAAAGCAAGATGTGTGCAAACAACTTGAATGTATAGAACAATGAGGAGAACAGTTAGAGAAGGAGAAACAAAGTCTGCTAGGATTCTGAGGAGGAGGCCTCATTTCCAGCTGAAAGAAAAGACAGGGAGCAGCATGTCACACAGCATGGAGAAAGATTTTGAAAGGTGGGGATTGGGGTGTGCAGAAGGGTATTTAGGAAGAGGATAATGTGGACAAATGTAGGGAAATTGGAAAGGACATGGGGTGTTTCAGGAACAGTGAACATGTAATGTGACTAGTGTAAATCAAATATGAAGACAAGTCACGAAAGATGAGATTGGAAAGTCACCAAGAGCCTTCAATGCCGAGTGAAGGTATTTGGACTTTATTTCACCCAGAAAATGTAAACACTGGAAGTTTCAAGCAGGAGAGTAATGTAATCCGAGATGGGCTTTCCAAAGACAAACTTTGCTGCAGTGTTGGGAAAAATTAGAGGAAGCAGAGATTGAAGGTGAACAGTCCAGGTGGGAATCTGGATCATTTAGTTCAGGTAAGAGGGTAATGACTGTCTGAACTAGTGGGGAGGGCAAGAGGAATGCAAAGTAGTGGAGCGTGTTATTTATTTTCTGGTACACATTGCTAGGAGCTATGTGTAGGGACTTAGGTAGAATAAATACTCACAAAAGATATGTTGAGAAAATGGTGGGAGGAACAGGTCTCAAGGAAAGAAAAAAGATGCCTTTCCTATTATTTTCTAAAAAGTGTTCTGTGGTGTATTGTTACCCCATGGCCTTGTGAATTACCATGTGGTCTGGATATACCAGTCCTTATCCTCAATTCTTCCCTTCAGATGGTCCAACTCTTATTATTCCGAGTCTTCTCCTAAAAGGCGTGGTTGGCATACCATTGAAAAAGAGCTCCATGAAGGTGAAATAACTAGATGAAAAAAAAAATGGCTGCTCTTCTAAGCAGGACAGTTTCCTAAATCAACTCAATTATTTCTGAATTTCCAAAAATAGAGACCGTTTTCAAACATCATTAAATTTTAGAATATTAAAAAATGTATACTTTAAAGCAATGGTCAACAGACTTCTTCTGTAAAGATCCAGATAGTAAATATTTTAGGCTTTGTGAGCCATACCGTCTTTGTTGCAACTACTCGGCTTTGTTATAGCAGCATAAAAACAGCTATAGATGACACATAAACAAATAAGTGTGGCCCTTTTACAATAAAACTTTATTTATACAAACGGAACCAGGCAGGATTTAGCCATGGGCTGTAGCTTTCTGATTCTTGCCCTAGGAAGCAAGGTCAGTAATTAGCTTCAGGATTCTTTTAAACTTAAACTGACTCAGTATCTTGAGGTAGCAAAAATTTTAAATGGTCAGTTTGTGTGAGTTTGAAATGTTACAATAACTTGGATGTGTGTGTGTGTGTGTGTGTATGTGTGTGTGGAGGGGGTATTCTAATGTGGCAAAGGTTCATTCAGAATCTGCATGTGGACATAACCTTGTTAACTTACTTGTTCTGTTGTCGGTCCATGTTTCTTCTGCATCAAAATGAGCATCTCCTCCAATACCTGGGCCTGGCTGAAAGGCATGAGCAAGGATTCCATTGGGTCCATCAAATGGAGAATTGTCACCATGATCTGAAATAAAACAATTTGTATTAGGCCCTTGCCGTGTCTCAGGTTAACCAGGGAAAGCGAAATTGAGCGGGACTGCTTCGAGCCTACCTCCTTGGTAAAAAGCAATCCTGATGTCTGCTTCTCCCTGTGAGATCTTCTTGAACTTCAGGGATGATGCTATACTCCACTCTTCAAAGGCACGCTCAAAAGCTCTTTCAACATCAGCCCTTAGCAGCAAGTGTGGGGTATAGTTAATAATCCTTCAAAATGAGAAGATGTGTGGAGGGTTCATTACTATTCAGAACAGCAGTCTATCAACTGATTGAGTTACTCTGTTTTGGAGTGAGTTGCATACATGAAGTGTTACCACTAGAGAGAGTATAAGGAAGGAGTGCGGGACTCGGGGTTGAAGACAGATGTGGGTTCTAGAGAAATTACTACATGTCTTTAAACTCAGTATCCTTATTCATAAAATGAGGATAGTAAAATAGTATCCCTCTCAGAGGGTTGTTGTGGGGATTAAATACACGTGAAGTATTTAGTTCATACTTGGCAAATAGTAGTATTCAACAAATATTGGGTATCATTATCATCAACAGGAGGCATGCAAGGTGGGGCTAGATTCTCTAGAGCAGTGATTAAGCCTAACACTGCCATCATCCTCTTTAGATTGTTAGAGAAGGAAGACAAAAGCGGCAGGCTTTGGAGTGAAAAGAATCATGGGATTTTTACCCTTTCATTCTCAGACTCATTCACCAGAATCTAAACTATAAAGGCAGGGATATTTATTTGTCTTTGCTGTATCCCAAGTCCTGGAACATTGTCTGGCACATCATAAAAGCTCAAAAATACTGGTCGAATGAATGAATTCTGAAACCCTAGAAATATCACCTGTAGGTCAGGTTATTTCGTTCCCACTTGGGGTTCCCTGGGGTTATCATAAACTCTCCAGTGTCAGGCACTCCACAGCGAGGTTTCTGCATCATTTCCAGAGTTTCCTCATTTGGCTTCCCTGTCACATTCAACCCAAAGAATCGTTGCATTTCTTTAAGCTTTTCAACAACCATGCTAGTGCTGTTCTTCCTTGCAGCCTGATATCCTTTCCTTGGTAATTGGTAGAAATTTTCAAGGTAATTCTGGATAAAGACAAACATATAAGGAAACTTGCTGTGAAATTACCTTCAGTTCTCTGGGCATTTTGCATTCCTTTCTTAGTTTCTGCAGAGGTCAAACCCGGGCTACTAACCTGATAGCCGCAGGAACAAAACACAAATTGCCAGGTTGACTTTGAGAGAACGGTGCCTATTGGAAAGAACAGCCCCTGCCCAGTGCCCCACTTAATGTTTATGCATAAAAATGGCTATTTCATAAGGGATGAGGCCCAAGTCCTCAAGCAAAATGCTAGTATACAGTCAGGAGACTGTCTTCTTATTTTTATTGAAAAAAATAGCATTAGCATTTATTGACTTCTTGAGGTATTAGTTGCATCAATGCAGATTCTCTCTTTTAATCCTCTTTTCACTATTGTATTACTCATCCTCAGGAAGAAATGGAGGTGCAGAGAAGGAAGGAACTTGCCAAGATGACAATTCAGGTCCCAAGTCACCATGCTGCTTCTCAAATGAAAATTGACAATTTTAAAAGCAGAACTCCAGATATGATTCAGGGCAATAGCAGTATCACTGACATGAGCATTTTATCTACCACAGTCACTCTTTGGAAGGGGCCAACACTCCTGAGGGGGTAAAGGTTCTCGGGGGGGTTAAGCCAACTGTAAGACTTCTTTCTCTTACCTTGAGCAGCCTGTGAACGCCTGAAACTTTGCAAGTGACACAGGACCGAGCACTTCTGTGCTCACACAGCTTTTGGGATCAGATAGGTTTGGGTTCAAATCTTGGCTCTGCCACAGATTGACTATGAGTCCTTGGACATATCACTTAACTGACTTAAGATTTACTTTAGTCTCTAAAGTGGAATAATAATACCCCCTTCACAGGGTTGTGAGGATGAAAGGAGATGTTTGTGAAATGGTTAGCAGGGTGCCTGTTGCAGAGTAAGCACTTAGCTATTAGCTGTTAGCCTAGGGGTTACTATTACCATTGAAAGAGACTTAAAAAAATAAGTAAAAGAAAAAGCAACAAGAATAATGCTTTTCTAAAACTGTAATATTAAAAACATTATGCTTGACAAATTGGTGATAACATTCCCTTGTGTTTCTTAAAAATGTAGGCTGACTTTCACACTGTGAAACAATGGAAAAATATTGGTTTTGCTTTTTTAGCACTTCCATGTTTATAAACAGCCCCATAGTCTGATGTTAGGAAATCTGGGTACACTATGGACTTATACTGTCCCATCCTCATGCTCTCTTCTACACCTGGGAGTTTTGGCTGCAAAGATAAGTCCATATAGAAAGCATCACACGTGTAGTAACTGGGTTGCAGATATACTGAAAGGGAAAATCCTAGGTAAGTGAGAAAGAAAATAATTTAGTTTTGTAATTAAAACCATTTCTCCTAAAAGGCTTCCCGAGCTGGAAGTTCAGCAGCAGTATTTTCCCAGGTTTTGAAGAGCCTGGCTTGTTCTCATGCCTGGCCTTTAGAGGGCCCAGCTCGGAACCTTCCAAATCACTGAAACGAGACATTCAACCTCAAATCATCGAGAGAATTTCTTTCAGTCCATTTTAACTAAAAAGAGAAAGCAACCCACACAATTTTCTAATAACCAGCAAATCAACAGCCCACCAACTGATGGTCAATTTACCTGAACAATTTTTGCCTTCTTCTCTTCTGGGGATTCAGGAGGTACTGGAAAGGCCTTGGAAAGCTGTATGGGGAGTAGGAGCAGGAGTGGAAGCGTCTTCAGACTGAACATGGCCTTTTCCTCAAACACTGCCTCTCCTGGCCTTCCTCTTGGCCCCTTTGAGTAGGGACCTTGCCCTGGTGGGTGCCCTGAGGTTCGCTGCATCATGTGTCTCTCTTCTGGTCCCTTATAAAGCCATGTCTTAAACAATTGCCACATCAGGAAGGTGAAGCAACACAGGTCAATTACACTCTGAAAATTTTGCAATGTTATAAGTGATTTAGTACCCAAAAATGGACGAGTCTTTCAACAGAAAAAAAGTGCAATCTGCTACTCTTTGCTTTTGCGGTTTTTAGATATTTACTTTTGTGAAACTGTCTGGTCAAGGAAAAGGAGTAGGAGGCTAATCCTGAAGTTAATGAACAGTAGTCATCCATGGGTTTACATTTTCAGGGTAGGTAAGATGCCTCGGCTGTGTTAATTTATGCAAGGGAATATTGTTAGATTAGTGGGAGGGGTCTTGGGACCAAGAAGCCCAACTAGAGAATCTCTGTACTTACCCACCTTGCTGTGTGCGAGGAGAGGGTGTGCCTGCATGCACTGTGACAAAGCAGGATTTGTATGGGGTTCCTGGAGCAGCTTCTGGAAGATGGCATTTTGGCATCAAAGTATTAGAAAATCCCCAATCTGCAGGCCGGATTTTCCACAGGAAAGACAAAGAAAGCAATAGTGATGATGATAATAAACATTTGCTGAATATTCATTATGTCCCAGACATATATGGTGTGTACGTATAGATCTATATACACACACACATGTATATTACCTCAGTCCATCCTCACATGGCCTTGGGGGTAGAGGCTATTACTATCTGCATTTTGCAGATGAAATCAAATCCAGAGAAGTGAGATGACTTATACAGTCACATGGTAAATTTGTGAAGGGGCCAGGCTTCAATCGCGTTTGGTATGTTTAGAGAGACTAGCTGGCAGCTCCTCCATCAGGCTGTTTTGTAGTCTCCCACTCGAGTGCCCGGCTGGCCCAGAGTGGAGCAGTAGCTCCAGGCCTGCAAGAACTGGGACGCCTTGGCTTGTGTTCCTGGAGAAGGAGACAAAGGAGAGGAAGAATGAGATGTCATATACTCCCCAGGGAGAAAGATGCTGAGAGGATTTTAAGACAATGTGGCTACATAGGGGGTTGTATTGGTCAGGGGCCCATGGGCATGCTTTTCAAATCATGTTACCTGGTCTCACTTCTTCTGACTCTACCTGCGTGTAGATTATGTTACCACACAGTCTTTGTATATATTCATGTATATGTATTTGTATATGAGGGCAGGTATTGTTGTGTATAAATGTCTATATCAACATATATGAAGTATAATATCTGTTAATACATAAATAATGTCCCTATTTGGGATGCTGTGGTTAAGTACTTCAGTTTCCTCCTGATGTTTCTTATGAGCTTTGTAAACAATGCAAAGAAATGTGTCTTGGGTTAGAACTTATCTGGACAGCAGATTAATGCTCATGATACAGATTCCTGCATTCACTCAATAAACATTTCCTGCCACCTACCATGCACCAGGTGCTGTGATGCGTGTTAGATTATTGGAGATAAGTTAACGGTGGTTCAGACGAAATGCCGTGGGAGTCTGGAGGAAAGTATAATGGCCAAGGTTGGTGGAATCAACGAAGGCTTCATGAGGGACATAGAATTTGAACTAGAACTTGAAGAAGTAGAATGTGGACATGCAGAGATGTGGTGATCCATTTCTCGTATGTGTGTTGTGGCAGCTTTGCCCCCCATGTTGTTCAAGCTGTTCTAAGGTCATGATCACGTTAACCCTCCCTGAGTACATGACTTGGTCATGGTATGGCTTCCTCTACATTAAGGCATTAGTGAGAAAACCTTTTCCTACTAATGAGAATGCCCTAACATTGGTCTACCCTATGTTGAGTTATTTTGATGCACTGGCTTGTTTACAAGGTTTATAAACTTACTTTCTTCTGAACATAATGCTAAGTGATTTAAGCAAGAATCCAAAACTTTGGTGAACTCAGTTTTCTGTCATTTGTGTAAATCTTGTGTTAAAAAACAGAATTGTTGGGTATGGATCCCTGACAACAGGTCCAGCCCCAATGTAGGGTGGAGAAGGCCACATTTGTTTTCAGGGCCTCCAATGTCTGCTTTCTGCATCCTTTCTCCACACCTGACCACTGCTCACCTCCATGGTGTCTGTGCCTCATCCCTTCTGGTGCCTGGAACCCAGAATTCTCTCAGGCTCTCTCCACTGGGAAAAACTGCTTCTGGGAAAGGATCAGCTATCAGTCACTTTACACCTCAGTGTGAACCTAGGGTCTTTTTGTCTTTTAAGTCAATTTCTTACCAGAAAAAAACCCAAACAAACAAGCAAACAAATTTTAAAAATGAAGGTTTTGTTCCCTATAACATGAGTTTCAGAGCAAGTAAAAAGATGGAGGAAATTTAGTTTAGACAGAAACATGCAAGGCAATGGAAGAGTTTTCTGTCTCGCTAATGCCACCCCCTGTAGGCAGCAACCTAGTCTGATCATCTGATGTGCTTTCCACAGCAGCAATAGCAGGCTGTATTTTTATAGCTGTATTTTAGGCCTGAAGAGATGAAACTGATTGATAGAAATATTTTGTTTTCTCTTTAGTTGAAAAAAAAAGAAGAGTGGGTCCAGACAGCTGGGATGGGCATAGGTAGCAGAGAAAGCTGCCAGGAGGTGTTCATGTGTACCTGAATCTAAAGGATGAGTAGGAGTTTGCCAATGAGGAATGTGATCCAGTAGAGGAACTAGCATGCACGAAGCATCCAAGTACACCCAGTGAAGCATATGGCTAATCTGATTCACATAAGCCAAGGCAAAATGTCCTCTGCATCATGCATTTTTGAACTCTGACGATCAGGATGGATGTCTACACACCTTGATCAAGTTAACAGTAAAATTGTCAGGGTCATAACTGTGGTGAAAAGTAAAGAGCATTAGACTTGAAATTATACTAGCTAGGTTCAAATTGTAGTTCTGTCACTTCCTACTTATGAAACTTTTGGCAAGTTATCTAAGGACTTCTGAGCCTCAACTTCCACATCTATAAAACTGGTACATTAACATCTCCCTCGTACAGCATCAAGAGGATTAGATGAGAAAGTATATGTAAAAAGCTCTGTGTAAGCACTCCAGTGTGGTATCTTCTTCATATTATGAACGTTGTGAAATTATGGCCATGCTGATTCATGTGTCCATTCTGTGAATTGAGTTAGCAATGTTGAAAGGGTCCTTTTTTGCAGAAAGAGAAGTGCTTCAAAGTTAAACCACCAAGTGATGAAGTAACTTCCATACAGCTTCTTGCAGTATCCAGTGCTCACTGCGGCCAGGGGATATACGCATGTAACTTACACATGCTTTACACAGAGTATAAATGGTCAAGTTAAAATTGCACAAAACGTCATGTATTAAACACTGTGCTAAGCTGAGCTGGCAGTTTTTATTATCAAGTGATGGAAAGGTATGTATTAAGTGTCTGCACTTTCTAGGACTCTTAGATATTCACTATCTGTTATCTCCCTTAAGCTTCATAACAACCCAAAGAAGTTGGAGTTATTATCCCCATTTTAAAGATAAGGAAACTGATTCAGAGATCTGATTCAAACTTACTTTTCCTTTTATCCTTCCTAGTAATCCCCTTTGTTCTTTCAGTGAGGAAAAATTCAAAATAAGGCAATGGTTTGCAGTCTCAGCTCTACATCAGAAGTGATGTTAAAAATACAGATAGGTGGGCCCCAT